GAACAGGTAATGTATGTAAAGTATTTAGCAATCTAGATCGTCAACAATTATTGCCATGATTAATGTAGGCCCCAGTATGTTTACTCAACCCTGAATAAGGAAAAATAGATCTATGCAAAACAAATGATTACAAATAGAGAGAAAATTACAATCTCCATTATGCATTGTCACCAAGACCTGCCAGTCTCACCCTCTGCACAGAGCTCTTGCCTTACAGTAGGATTGTGTCAAATTCTGGTGCTACAGTGAGAATTACTTCCTTTCCTAGTTGTTTTCTTGAAGTTGTTGTGTTCAAGTGGATTTCGATAGATGAGAGTATGGAGAGGGAAGTGGTCCTTCAAAAGTAGCATCTACATTGTAGGGAGATGTTTTTTTGTTCTTCTTTCTTCATTTTTTTTTCTTGGGAACTATGAAGGCTCTTTCTAATATCTTTCAGATGGACTAGGGGTTTTATTTTTATATAATGGTCACTAATTGCTTTCTTCAATTCACTTGCATCATCCTAATTAAAGAAATTTTTCTCTCATCTGCAAATTGGTGAATGGTTAAACTTAATTTTTTGTGACCTTGAGATTTTCATCTTTCCCTTTATCCATTACAGTATTTTAGTGAGGCTGTAAAAGAGGCTACCTCGCAGCTGAAGGTTAGAAGCCGTACTGAACCAGGAATCATGATTCTTTTTGAACATTTTTTATTCACTATTGCCTTGGAAGTATCTGCCAAACGTTCAAATACCTGGCTCTTCAGAAAGATAGCATGCACCAGTGATGCCACTGTTCTGTGTTGTATCGTATCCTAATCAGAATGAAGTTCTCATATATTTTTCTAACTCACCTTTAGCTTATCCTGCTTGTTAGTATTTGCTCTGTATCCACAAACAACTGGTCCCATCAGATAACCAGAAAAAGGATTACAAGTGTGTCTTATTTGCTGTCTCTCAGCATACACTTAAACAAAATGTTAAATAAAACCTAGTACAAAAGGAGTTATCTGTATTTCTTAGACGTTTTGTAACATAAGATTTGGCAGCCATGAATATTAGTTGGTATTCAATAGATATATATGTTAGTCTGTTGAATCTTCATTTTTATTGAATCTTTTTAGAAACAGCTCATTATAAACAAACACAAGAAGGTAAATAGTTTAAGTAATTTTTGAATACATAGTGTTCATTTTTGACTATAAATTAACAATATGAATTGATGTAAATGGATATTTCAATCATTGATTCTAAAATTTGAACTAATGTAACAGATGGAATTCAGCTGCCCAAGCAAGCTTCTGGGGTTTGATTATTCAAGTGATTAAGATGCTATTTGTCAACTCTAGTTTGCCACCCCTTTTAATTATATAGATAATCAAACTAAGAACTGCTAATTCTGTCTCCTAACTATTAATTGTTTGTAATTACCTACAGATTAAAACTGCATGTGCAATTAACTCAAAGAATTAATTGATACAAGGGAATTGATAAAAGGGAAACAGAACAAACTTAGCATAAAAGAGGCTCTGGGGACACAGGACCACTAAACCCAGTGGTGTGTCTTGGGCTCTAACACATCTTCATAAAGATACATCACACTTTAATTTGGACTTCTTCGGCTCTGTTGGAGGCTGTTTCATAGACTGTTTCTTGCAAACGTTTGGTTTCTTGGTTGACTGAAACAGTGTATTTGAAAAGTTTGAACTTCTATTGTCTGTGGGTCTTTGCTGATAATGACTTTGACAAATCTATCCGCTTGCCATATGTAGGAAATGTTTGTCACTACAAAGATTACAGAAGTGGTGAATATTTTAACTAGCTAGGAATTTTTCCTCCCCCCCCCCCCCCCACGCTTTCTTTCCTCATTCTCCTGGCATTACCACCGTAGTATACCATCTTAGCAGTTTTCTGTGAGTCATCTGAGTAATTTAAGTTTCTAAAATAGCTATGCTTATTAGATTTTAGAAGTATCTCTCACCTGCATAAATAATTGGCTCATTGTTAACTACAAAAATTTCAATAAAAATGGGAAATAAAATAAAAAGCCACCCGCAACTGAAATGCATTTAAAAACTATTACCATTATAAACATCAAGATGATGCTGAAACATGAGGGAAGATGGTCTAGTGAAACATTATTTGATCCTGGAAAAGAGTAGAATTTTAAAAACTTGTTTTTAAGGCTTTTCCTTTCCTTCAGATATTTATGTCACTTGCGTTATATGGGGCCTTTCACTCTTAACACTTTTACTGATTGGCCTTTCAATTGATGCCAAATCAGTGCCGGAGCATACATTGAACATATGCTTGGGGCACGGTATTATATTCAGTTTTATGGGAAATACAAAGCAAGTGAAAGACTTTTAAGTCTAGATAGGGAAATAAGATATGCAGAAGAAAAGAAAATAACATCGACTTGTGGTATAATAATATTTTTCAAAAACAGTCTAATTAAGTATTGAAGAAATGCAAAGGCAGGAAGACATCAGTATGGGTAGTTATTTAGCAGATTTTTCTGTGTTCAAAGTCAGTTTCTATTTAGCTAATAACTCCTTGTTAACCTGATGGGCCCATTTTGGTTTCTTTCCAAATCTTGATACTGCATCTTCCCCAGATTTGTTTAATCTCAGAGTATGCTATTCTATCCTGCTGGCTGATAAAATGGAGTTACTGAGAAGATTTCTTATTTTTTCACCTATCAATAGACAGCCTACTCTTGCGCTCTCTCTCTCCCTCACACACACACAATACACACACCCCTAGAAATCAGAATTTTCATTTCTCTGTGGCATTATCTGTGAAGATTGTTGGCTCCGTGAAGAGTGTGTGGAGATTTAGTCTGATATATGACTTTGGTCTTCAAACTATCAGCTTATAACTTTCGACTGACTTTGTGGAATAAATGGGAATTTGTTGCATGTCACCTTCTGCGCCTGGCTTCTGAGGAGGAGTCATTAGCATACATCAGTGTGTGAATGATTACCTTGAGGATTTTAGTGGAGGCTTTACTGCTTCCTGAAGTGGAAAAGTTATAGCTATATTTTCTAGTGTGATACCTATGTGCTGGAGAAAATAATGCATGCCCTTCTTGACTACATGAGTCTGTTTTGTGGGTAAACAAGATAAAATATTTGAAATGTTCTGAACTGTCTTGGAAAAATGTTATATGGCATTTAGTTTCATTTTGGATTGGGCTCTTCAGTGGTCAGAAAGATTCCCTTTTGCCTGTGAGATTTAACCTCATGAGGCTAATTCTTGTTTACCAGCGTTTACATAGCTACCTTAATCACATTGCTCATGAACCAGAAGCACAGAGCAATTCCAGGTAAGATATTGTCCTTACCTTGAAAGAGTTTACAAATTTAAGAAGGAGGTTGGAAGGAGAAGCCCAATTATTTGAAATATGTGAGAACACCTTCTGTAGAAATCATTAAAGGAAGTGGGTGGGCCAGGGATAGTGCTAGTGAGTTGAGGAATACTTCAGATTAGCCAAAAAAGCTCCATTAGAAATGTGGGGCTTGGGGCAGGCCCTGTGGCCGAGTGGTTAAGTTCATGCGCTCCGCTGCTGGCGGCCCAGTGTTTCGTTGGTTTGAATCCTGGGGGTGGACATGGCACTGCTCATCAAACCATGCTGAGGCAGCGTCCCACATGTCACAACTAGAAGGACCCACAATGAAGAATATACAGCTATGTACCGGGGGGCTTTGTGGAGAAAAAGGAAAAAATAAAATCTTAAAAAAAAAAGAAAGAAATGTGGGGCTTATACATCTCTAATAACTCATGCTATCCTTTTATATCCCATTGGGTTTTTAAAAAGCCCCCAATTAAAGTATAACATGTATGGCCTTTCTTTTGCTATCCTCTTCTCAGATACTAATATTTTCAAGTTCTCTATAATCTCCCCATTATTGGCATTTGCTTCCATTAAAGAATTTCATTTATTCATTTTGAGTTGTGATTGAAATATATGATTTATTTTGTTGCCTGTTCTAGAGATTTTGCCTTTTTGATAGAGGGTAGAGACTTTTTGGACTGACATGGAAGAAATCCATATAAAATTAAAATGAAGTAGGATGTGTGTATGTGTATTGATTCGGATGTATCTGAGATAACATCACATTTTTTTATTATTTTATGTTGCTACTTTGCTTCCTTAAAGGACACTTATCTTAGAATCCTGTAAATAAATTGAAGCAATGAAATGAGAGAATTTATTACTTCTGAGTTTTTTCTAAATTTTTCTGAAATTAACTGATCCATGGATGACTCAGTTCAGTTTCAGGAAGGAATATATGTATATGAATAGTATTAGAAAGAAGGAAATGTGAAAATAGTTTGATTCATTTGGATAGCAAGATTTAACTGAATTTTTCTCTTTTTTAAATTATTAATACTTCTGAGAAACCTACAAATAAATCTTAAATCTCTCCGTCATCATTAAAAAATAAGTTTTCTTCAGAAATCTCACATAACAACTGCCATGAGACAGAAGAAATATGTGGGCATATCCTGGCTAGCCTTTTGCTCTTTCAGCCTTTTTACCTTAAACACTTTTAATAATTTTATTTACTTCACAATTTCAGAACATATGCCTTCATAATAATTCTGAACTTTCTTTTAAAGTAATTATGTGACAAGGAGAGAAGTTTTCCTTTCATTTTTGGAAGTGCTATTCACAAATATGATTTTGCTTTATGCTTGCTTTAAAAAGAGAAGTCAATGTTCTTGAAGAGAAGAGAGTCAAAAGAATGAACCTATTAGTTTTCTGATGGGCACACTGTATGCAATAAAAACACGGGAGCTTTACTGTATGAGGGAGCCAATTAACTGAAGCCTCTCTCTGTGCAATTCTATCACTTCTTCATCTCTCTCTGATTAGATTACAAGATACAATTTTAATACAGAATAGTGGGCCATAAAGGTGATTTACTTTCCTCTTTGTAACACTAAGCAGTATGATCAGGGTGTGCTTTGCCTGGATAAATATTGTTTTAACCTACATTGATACTTCTAACAGACAAAACCTTCTATGATTGGAGAGGAATTATGTCAACAAAGTCGTCTCGTTTGCCTGGTGACTCCAGTTTGCCTGTTGTCTCTGGATCATCTACAGTGTTTCGGGATTACTGTTCTGTAAGTATTTGCAAAACTGGACACCAAGTTTGAATTACCATTTTTCTGGCAAATTATTGGATTGATTTTGATATAACGTGTGATTTTATGATGAACCTATCTCATTTCTAAAATGATTCTCCATTGAAATTTATCTTTTTTTTCTGATGCAATCCTTTAGTTCTGTTATCATATTTTATGTAAATCTTGCTGAGCACCTTAACTCCAAAATATGCGTGTTAATTTTTATTTGAAGAGCACTAATAGCCAAACTGATCATCACAATGGTTTGCCCCAAATGTGAGAGCAATTATTTTCTAATGGTACCTAGACTATCAAGACAATATAATGGAGGCCGATGGAGAATGAAGACATCTGTTACAGGTGTGACAATGAGAGGACTGAAAAGTCCAAGGGCAATTTCACAACCACACATTAATGGTTTTCTGAATGAGGGCTCTCTAAACTGGGAATCTCTGACCTAAAAATGGAATCAGGGCTTTTCTTTTCATCAGGGCAAGTCCTGAGATGTCTCTATGTAAATAGTAGAAGAAACTCATGTGATTCTGACGTCTTTAACAACAACTTCTTAAAAAATTGCAAAATGCTATTTTGTAAAATTGTGTTTCACATTGTATATATGTCTGGGTTTCTTACATCTCTTATATGTTCTGTTCTGTGTGTAAATATGTCTGTCTCATCTTTTCTCTGTCTTTTCATATTACTAATTGTTTTTCTTCTTGACTTTCCCTTTGTATTAGTGTGCTTGGGCTGCTCTAACAAAATAGCACAGACTGGGTGCTTAAACAACAGAAATTTATTGCTCACAGTCCTGGAGGTTAGAAGTCCAAGATCAAGCTGCCAGCAGGGCTGGTTTCTCCTGAGGCCTCTCTCTCCTTGGCTTGCAGACGGCTTTCTTCTTGCTCTCTCCTCACATGGCCTTTCCTGTGTGTGTTTCCCTGGTGTCTCTCTGTTTTCTTATAAAGACACTAGTCGTATTGAATTAGGGTCCTGCCCTTATGACCTCATTTACACTAATTACCTCTTTAAAGGTCCTATCTTCAACTATAGTCACATTAGGGGTTAAAATCTCAACATATGAATTTTGGGAAGACAAAATTCAGTTTATAATACCATTAGACAGTGGAAATATGTTCAAAAATTATTTTTCCTATCTATTGAATAGTCCTTTTATCTGTCATTTTAAAAAAACAAATATTGAGTTTTTATATTTTCCTGTGAACCAAAACTTGTGAATTATGTCACATTTAACTTATGTTGCTAAATTCTTTGTGAGTAAATTTACTAAAACTAAGTCATTGCAACCCTGTTTTAGACAAGGAAATTATATGAATATTATGTTTCCTGAAATTGTAACAGGCTTTGTAATCCACTACTTTTAGAACATATTAATTAATCATAGTATAGACAGTTGTCTCCAGCTAACGAGATTTATATTTCTAATGCATACATGTCCTTAACAAAAATAATACCCATAGAAGGCTATTTTTATTATCTTCTAGTAAAGGTGAAAAAATGAGCTACTGGTTCCAAGCCTTCCAGCTCTACCCTGTTTTACGCTAACAATTTAGGGACTGCTCTTAGCTGTGTGAAGAAGTATATTTAAATATATTTCTCTGGGGAATACATCTGGCAAGAATAGACTTGATTCTAGAGAGCTTTGAATGCAAGACTGAGAGTGTTTATTCATTGCTGAGTGGGAAATTAGGAGTGCAGAAGGCTACTAACTGTGGCTTTGACATAATAGATGGTGCTTTGTGTATGTGCACCTGTAGAGCTTGAAGTAGACTGGAGTGGAGACAGGGTGAGCATTAACAGGCCTTTTACATCAGTCCAGTTAGAGGCTTGAATCTCACCTTTGCAAACCTACTATATGGTCGGGGGGGGTGTTAATAGATAAGAGGGGGGAAGATTCAAACCTTCAAATTTCTTTCCTGTGGCTCACTGCATGTTCAGTTTTCATGATCGAAAGTCTAAATGGCTTCTTTCACTGGATTCCATTTTAGTTTATCCTTTAAAATAATTACAGTGTTAGAAGGGATCAAACACCAAGTTGTAAGTAATCTTTTTTTCCCCTAGTTTTTGTTGTGGGAAAATATACACAACATAAAATTTGCTATTTTAAACCATTTTTAGGTGTGCAGTTTGGTGGCATTAAGTACATCCACATTGCTATGGAACCATCACTACCATCCATCTCCAGAACTTTTTCATCTTTCCAAACTGAAACTCTGTACCCATTAAACACTAATTCCCCATTCTTCCCTCCCCACCCCCTGGCGACCAACTTTGTACTTTCTATCTCTATGATTTTGATTTGTCCTTTTGTGACTGGTTTATCTCACTTAGCATAATGTCTTCAAGGTTCATCCATGTTGTAGCATGTGTCAAAATTTGCTTTTTAAAAAGCTGAATAATATTCTATTGTATATATATACATACTATATTTTGTTTATATGTTCATCTGTTGATGGACGCTTGAATTGCTTCCATCTTTTGGATATAGTGAATAATGCCACTGTGAACATCGGTGTACAAATATTGAGTCCCTGCTTTCACTTCTTTGGGGTATATACCCAGAAGTGCAATTGCTGGACCATATTGTATTCTTATGTTTTACATTTTCAGGAATCATCATATCATTTCCCACAGTGGCTGCACCATTTTACATTTCCACTAGCAATACCTAAGTGTTCCAATTTTTCCACATCCTCATCAACATTTGTTGTATTTTCTATTTTCTTGGTAATAGCCATCCTAATGGGTGTGAAGTGGTAAGTAATCTTGATGTGAGTTTGTTCAATCAGTCCAGAAGACAAAAAGTAACTGGGAAAACTGAGAATGTAGAAGTCTGCATTGTTAAAAGAGGAGCAGAGACAAGGCACAGAAAATCCTGTCTTTGATTTTGTGGGAGGAGAGAAAAATATCATCCATTCTGCTTTCAAAACACTCTCTACAGCTTAGCTACTCTTATCAAAATTTTAATTTTCTCAAATAAGAAAGTCATTGTGGATATGCTTTCTTTAGGCTAAAAGAACACTGTCTCTTTTAAGTCTGAATTTTTGGTTTTCTTTTTAAAGTATTTTGTATCCTTATATGTTTCAGTTCTAATTAAATAATAATTCAATAATGTTGTGTGTCTTTAGTTTTAATGTTTCATTTCTGCAACTGCAGTCTTACTGTGTTAGAATTTCCAATTATTTTAAGCAATAGCATATGGCCCCCTAAAACTTCCTTATATGAAGTTAAAGAAACTACACCCTAAAGAAAAAGTTACTCATGCTACCTTTTATGGTCTCTGAAGTACTGAGATATTTATAGCCTTAATTATCTCGAAAGATAGTATTTATCTAGGTAAGTGAGCATCTCTAAATATAATCCCTTGTATAACATAAAAACATAATATTATATTGCAATAATATAGGAAGGACCACTATCTCCAACTTTCTTGCCACAATTTCATTTCATAATTCTTCTTTAAAAGGTTTGCTACCTTTAGGATAATATATGAAGCAATCTTGAAACCCACAGCCTGGAGGACTGTAGGTGGAAAACAGCCTTGGTCTTTATCAAAATTCTGAGATGCAAAAATTAATGTATTTATCAATAGTGCTCTTAAAAATAGTTAGGATAAAAACAAATACTGACAGAAATTTGTATAAGTAGTTAATTTCCAGCTAATATTTAGAAATACAGGAGAGCGTTTGTTCGTTGTCAGTAAGGCAAAACTCTCCTCAGTGAGTGGTTCATTTACTATGTTGCAGTGCTTTCCCTCAGAGAAACTCTGCCATTTGGTGCCAGTCTAAAATGAGGATGAAGCAAAAGCAAGGGAGTGCCCAAGCACGTGTGGGTGCATGCATGTTGGAGTGGTGACAGGGTTCGGGGATAGTGGAGTAGAGCGGAGAGAACGGTTGCCGTTGTCCAAGGTGGGACACCGGGGTGCATTTCAGACATTGAAGGAAGTTCAGGGTGGCAGAAGTGCAGCATTCAAGAGGGAAAGAGGCAAGAAATGAAACTGAAGAGAAAAGCAAATCCCCATTATCTCAAAGGAAGGCATTCACTTTGTCTTCTTAACAATACAAAGACAAAATATAAAATACAAAAAATAATACAAAATATAAAAATTAATAATTGGTTCCATTATAAATTGTTTCGTGTTTCAGAGAAGAAACTATGGTTCAGTCCTCTAGACATTTGTCTTCCTTCCTCTTCCCCCTTGCTCCCCTTCCCTAAGAGAATACATCCTACATACAAGAGGAGAAAACAAGAGTCACTGGCTATATTTTTTAGCTTTCTGATAGCTTTATCTCATAAACAGAACCAAAAATTCATTAGTTTTGTAGATTTTTTTAGAAATGAAAACAAGAAATTTCAAATATCCTGTTATTCTTCGCACAAGCTTAATCATATTGACCATAAAATGGATTAACTAGATCTTAACATGAAATTTCTTATCACTTTTTTTCTGGAGAATTTTCTTGAGCTATGTTGGTAAAAGAGAATTGTGGGAATCCAAGGAGATACTCTTCTTTTAACTTGGAAATTTAGATATCTTTTTGTAATTCTTAATCAAATTTTACTGTCAGAAGACTATGGCCATTCACTTGAAGGATTTTATGACATAATAAAAAACAATAAATTAACTTTTAATATGTCAAACATCTTTTCCCATTTATTTCTCCCATGTCACACTTTCTTCTTTCTGCTCTTTTCCTTCCCTCCTCCAAAATGTTTGAGGAAGTATTGTAGCTATTTTCATACTCATGATTTTCTCTCCTAGTGGGCTACACTGGATAAAAAAAAGGTCATCTGATTTGATTTCCTGATATTTCTAAGAATTAGTGCAAGTCATCAAAACTACTAAATTTAAATTTTCCATTTACTCAAATGATTCCCTAAAATCTTTTTGTCATTTTATGTAGAAATCAGGTTACTTTTTGAAAATCCTGTGGTAGGCTTGGGATTAATTTAGACCCTGAGTTAACAGCTAAGTGACTGTG